CCGATAATTCAGTGAGATCTGAAGATATGTCGAGCTCGAGAGTTTGGACTCGATGTCAAAATTCGAAGTGTCCACCTTGTTTTTTTTTTATCAGCACAGGGATTTCGGGCCTGAGTATGCATCTGTCGTCGCGACTAACCTTGAAAAAGGATAATTCGTCGAGAAAGTTGGTCCTTGATCCAGCAATCAAGACAATGATGGCAAGTATGACCGAAATCAGTGAGAATACGAATGGCAGAGACGCAAAGATCAGCCTGCAGCCGCCTGTGGCCGACTTTCGTGCCATCTGTGTATTGTGTTGTGCTATGCTGTCCTGTCTCTAGAGTTACCTGTTCCGGAGAAGCGGTCAGGATGCACAAGAAGTTGAACAAGATAGGGACAGTTTCTGGAGACTGAGATGAAGCGAGAAGGCTGGCATGAATATCAGCAGAGGTGCACGTAAGCAAGAACAAAAGATCGAACAGTGCAATCGCTGCGTACTCTTGCTACTGTATTGTGGTGCTTGAGGGATTCAAGGTTATAGTGCGATCAGCGTGGCTCAGCACGCAGCATTGCAGTGTTACAGCGCAGCAGAGTGCCCGCGTCGGGGCGCTTGTTCAGGGGCCTGCAGAATCCTTCGCGTGTTTCTGCGTCTCAGAAGCCGCATACCCTTGTTCACAGAAGAGACCCCAGCAGCCTTGTGGGGGAGCGGCCAGAAAAGTATATTTGGTGTGATCACTCTCTGGACGAACGATGTAGTTGCGGGGGTTCCATGTCTAGGTCCAACCTTGAGCTATTCCCAAGTTGTGCGAGACGAAGCTTGGAAGACCTTTTCTCCTGGCCTTGAGATCCTCAATTACACCCCGGGTATCCCGATAGGCTTTGACTGTGCTCGGAATAACACTCTGGAAGATGTCTGACTCCATGCGGCCGCCGACCCGGCCGGTAACAAAAGCACCCGCGTGGCACAGCATTGCATCGAGTCAAACTCAGGGTCGGGTATCCTGGTCGTTCCCCATCATATTAGCATCGCTTCAGGGGTTTGGTTTGACCCCAGCACACCACCTGGCTGGCGGCTAACTGCTTTTCACAGCCCCCAACGCTATCTATATCTCACTCGCAGGGGTTATGGCTGCATATCCGCGTCTAAAATAGCACTCCCGAGAAATTGTTTGTCACTTTACATGCTGCCAAATCTCTGGGCATCTTACATGTCTGCTTTGCGACCTCCAAGTAAGCAGCAATATCAGCCCAGCTTGGCAAGGCCGAAATGGCGCGAAGGATGATTTCAATGTAGGGCCCCTGGACTGTTTCCATGGGTCAACAGCCAGGGGGCCTGATGGAACTTTGAATTCGATGCGATTGAGAGATCCTCTCTGATTTAACGAGCCCACTTCGCACTCTATCAGTGACGTTGACCACCACTCGTCGCCCTCGTCCGGTGCTACTATTATTCCTCTTCCAGCGTTTCTACTGCTGACAGCCGCGTTGTCTTGATCATGAGGGCCAGCACTTTCTCAGCAGTCGCTATTGCTAGCTTCGTGCAATGGGTCAAGGCTGCGCATCACGATGTCACAGTTGGGAAGGACGGGAGCTGAAGTTTGTCCCCGAGACGCTTCATGCTCGCCATGGCGACACCATCACTTATCAGTTCTTTTGCTGCCGTAAGTCGAGTCCTCCCTTTCACGTTCGTCATGAGAAGACGACTCACATACTCTTGCCAGAACCACTCCGTCACACATCCTTCTTTTGACGCGCCGTGACAAACCATTACAAAGACGGCTTCTTCTCTGAATATTACACCCTCAGAAGTCCAAGACAAAATCTTCCTCACGATATGGACCATCACAGTGAACGACACAAAACCGATTTGGGTTTACTGTGGACAAGGCAAGCACTGCCAGAATGGCATGGTCCACTCTGTCAACGCTCCAGAGTCTGGTAATACCTTTCAGGCTTTCAAGGAAAAGGCCAAAGGTGCTTCAGACAGCGGGTCACCGGCTGATGGCCTTCCGGTGGGTGGTATACGAGTGACAAGGGTCGAGGTTGGCGTTGACGACGAGTTCGTCTTCAAGCCCAACAACATCAAGGAGCCCGTTGGCACACACATACAGTTCAACTTTAACCCCAAAAACCACTCCGTCACGCAATCGTCATTTGACAAGCCATGCGAACAGCTAGAAAACGGCTTCAGCAGCGGTCTCATCCCCGCGGTGAATGCCCCCTCAGGCATCTCCTTTGATATTGTCGTCAATGACACCAAGCCAATCTGGTTCTACTGCGCTCAAGGCCAGCACTGCAAGAACGGCATGGTCGGCAGCGTTAACGCACCAGCTGAAGGAAACACGCTTTCTGCCTTCACAGAGAAGGCCAGCAAGGCCGGTGCAGGCCAGCTTGTTCCACTTTCGCCCATCGGCGGCGTCCTCAGCGCCAACGGCACCATCTTGCCCACACTCAACAGCGCCGTCATTGACATTGCGCCTCTGAGCCTTGATCGCATTGAACAGGTTCCTAAACCAGGCGAGCACGATCAGTACATCATTGGTGGTGCCGGCGGCGGTCCCGTGGCAAACTACAGCTGGCCCGACACCATCTCGGCCCCAGCCGTCGAGCGCCTTCACCTACTGCACTACCTAGACAACATCCTGCTTCGCGTTCTACTTCGCGGTCGCGACAACCTGCAAGAGGGTGGCAAGTGGGCGGGTGCCTACCCGCAAACCATTGTCAACACGATCGCCTCCATGGCGGCGCAGACGTGGATCCACCGAGCCACGGCAACCGACTCGCTTCAGCACTACAAGAAGGACTTGCTTGAGGGGGAGTGCGAGTATAAGATAGACGATGAAGATGGCAAAGAAGGTGTCGATCAATTCCTCGACACTGTCCTCACGTTGCTGGATCTCGAAATCGGGTTTCTCGCCGACTCGTCGAGCCGGCTCGCCCACTCGGACCCGTGGCTCGTGGGCTGTCTCACGTCGGCTCTGGGTGCTAAGTCGCGCATGGCGGCCGTCGCAAACATGATGCAAGGCCGAGCGCCGGCCATTGCGCCGAGAGAGGTCCCTGTGCCTGCGGGCCTCGTGTATGCGTACGCCAAACACAGGTTCATCAAGGAATGTCCTGGAGATGTCATGAAGAGCTGGGAAGACGGCGCCGTGCGGGCACGAGCTCAACATCCACGAGGCGAAAAAATGTCCCTGATGGAAGGAACAACAAGACCGAGGGACCTGCTTTCTTTACATAAAAAAAAAAAAAAAGGCGGCTCAGGAGAAAACCCCCCCTCGCACAAACAAAAAAAAAAAAGAGAGGGGGGCGCCGCGTTTTGTCTTCTGTGTAGGAGTTTTTGTGTTGTGTTTGTTTTGTGTCTGCGGCCCACCACGGGGTAAGAAAAAAAAAAAAACCAACCCCGCGCCCGTGCGGCGGGGGGCGT